GGCAAATTCAAACCATTTTCGAAAGCAAATATGAGTTGAATTGTTCCAAGTCTTGTGATGTAGTCTATACTTTCTTGTGCGCGTCACGTAGTAAAGTTAGCTAATAACCGGAATAAGAACGCATGTGTTTATAAAACAACATATCATGATAGTAGAGGCCAATCTTTGATCAGGCAAGCGGGGGTGCTCATTTCAGGACCTTCCCCCTTCGTACCCAAGTTTTCGAGCCGAGGCAACTTTGGTGATGACGGACACGTGGCCTTTGGCACGAGTCAGGGTTTCCTAAATTTTTCAAAAATAAAATATTTAGGTGGCGACTCTGTAATCTGGAAAATCAATCCAATTTTGGCATTATTTGATTCAAAATCGATTTTCTAAAATGATTTGCTGGATTGGACTCTTTGGTGTTTATTAGTCTCACATTGCATTTTGTGAGATTAGATTCAGAACCGTGATAAGAGTCTGAACTGTAAGACCAATTCGAGCTCTCCGAAAGGGGGCGCGAAGAAAGTCGAGTCTATATGCGTGAACCCACAAGTGCGCGAATGCATGACATGATGGATATTGCCAAACTTGAAGAAGCACTGAATGCTGTAGCATCACTAGAGATGGATAACAAAAGCAAAGATAGTAAAATTGTAATGCTTGAAGAAGAGGCAACAAAGTTAAAGAGTGCAAATGAGATGCGAGTCGTTAATATAGTTGGTGGGTTTATGTAGACACCCCATTTTTGACGGCCCGTACGACTTGGACGTCCTTGCATGCACACCCGATGATGAGTTTATATGCTTTCCAAGTGCTCGAAATCCTCAGCGGAATGCCACAACTTTGAGCCTTTCAAACCCTATACCTTTGTTGTCTCAGTTTTGAACCAAGCCTAGCTTTTCCAGCCTGCAACCACAGGCCACCACTTTTGGGCTGCCGACCATCACTTTTGAGCTGTCGGCCACTGATGTGGCTTGCCGACCACCAGTGTGTTTACAGATATTTCATGCCAGCTGTGCTAGCTATTTGCACAGATGCATGCATCTTCACCCATATGTAGGGCTAGATGTTTTTAAGGGAATTGCTTGGTTCTCTATATATATAAGACCCCTTATATTGTTTTGAAGGTTAAAAAATTTTGAGCTTAAAGATTTTCCTCTCTCTACAATTCTCTCTCTCTCTCTCTACCAATTCTCTATACTTTTGCCTATAATTCTTCAACCTTTGCCTATACACCCATAATCAAATCTCTTCACCTTTGAGCTGAGTTACTTTTGAGCTTGGTTTGAGCTCTAGAGGGCGTTGTTTGCTTGTTTTGTTGCTTGGAATTGTTTATTCTCTTCAAGAGGTATAAGACTTTGCTTGTAGCTTTGTTTTATTTGCTTTGATCCCTACTATTTTTCCATTGTTTTGGGCTGTCAAAACTCTGTGTTTTTTTGGGCTGAAGCTTGGGTTTAAGGTCATTAAAGGTTAAGGGGTTGATAGCCCTTCTTTATACCTTGTTTTGGAGACCTTTGCCCTTGTGTTTCCCACCCTTTAACTATCTTTTCCCAAGTTTTTAAAAACTGATTTTTAGAGCTTTTTCAGTGGCCAAAATCATGTTTTGAAGTTCAAATTTGGGCTTGTGTCTTGTTTACTAGCCTAGTTTTCTCTGTGTGTTAGCTTATTTTTCTACCCTTTTTTGTCTTAATTCCAGCATGTTTTAGGACTACTTTTAACCTGTCTTAGCACTGTTTTAGGCTGTTAGTTGCATTTGAGCTTTATTTTACATGCTTGTAGTGTAATAGTCCTCATGAGTTTGGTGTTCTAGGCCTTAGACACCATTTCCTTTGAGTTGATTGCATTTATTTATGCTTTTCTCATTCATTTTCAGCATTAATAATCTCTGCAACCTCCATCCTTTCTTGGTTTTTTGTTTTGCATTGAAAGTGGTTCAAACAAATTGTTTGTTTAAAGCATGAGTTTGAGATGTCATGCTTAATGGTTTAATCCCTTTTAGGGGTTCATTACCAACGGTATGATGTCTCTTTCATGCCTAAGAAAACTTTTAGTTTAAGCCCTCTTTCCATTAGAGGACTTTAATTAACCATTGGACTTAATTGGATTAAGGAATGGTTGGTAAATTAAAGTGAGTAACTAAAACTTGGAACTAAAAGTGAGAAAGATAATAATTTGGTTGTGTTCAATTGGACGTTAATTGAACACATGGAAGCTTGAACCATTTCATACTTGTTAATGATGAAATGATTCAAGTCTCCAAGGTCAACTTCTTCCCTTGATCATTTATGAAAGGAAGAAGGTTTGTGTCTTGTTTTGCATTTATTGAAATTGCACATCTTGAGTCACAAGCCATCATGTAATGAAATTGCTTGAGTTGGTGGTTTGTGGCTTAAGTGCTCCACTTCTTTGATTTGCTCATGAAAATGAAGGGGAGAGTTGTGCAAACAAACCTTTGAAGATGCCCTGTATGTGCTCTGTTTGTCCTCTGTTGTAGCAAGATGAACCTATGCAGCAGTGGCCGGTAGGCCACTTTTCATGGTCGATAGACTACCATTGTTGGCCGACACGTGGTCGACAGTCTTTACCAGTGGTCAGCCGGCCACTGATGCAAAATTTAGCAGTGGGTTTGTAAGGCAGAGCAGAGTGAGCAACAATGTTGGTGTTCAACTATGCAAATGGAGGCATTCAGAAACAAAACAGCGGTGTTTTTGGGTGAAAACTGTGCATGCGCATGAACATCCCTCGTTTCCCGAGGCGTAGTAGTTAGTTGCATAGTTTAAATTACTTATTTTGCACTTATGTTGTAATTATTTAATTAGTTAGTTAACTAGTTAGTTAATTCAAGTGTTGTAATAATTAGCTTAATTAGCTTTATTCTAATTAATGAGCTTAATTAACTTTAGTCTAATTAGCTTAGCTTAATTAATTAGTTAATTAGCTTAGTTTATTCATTCGGACTCTTCTTCATGAGAGTGCAATGTAATAATGTGAATGTTTTTCAACCTCACGTCTTTCTCCCTTTTATTTAACTGCTTATGATGGTTAGTTTAGGGACATCATGTTTCGTTTAGCATAACTCATGCTTGCATCTATTCGTATTACATGCACCGAGGCTTGGTTCATCATTCTAATCTATATTGTTGTTTCAATACTTCTTTGAATACATGCTTAGTAGACTACATGCTATTTCAATGATTCATATGCAATGTTTAGTAACTGAGCCTATTAGTTGTATATCGCATATGTTGCATTAGTCATATTGCATAAGTTAGGAATCATGCATTTTTTCTAACTCTTTTGCTCATTTTAGCTTGGAGTACTAGGTAAGCTTTTATTTGCTTTAACATATCGCATGTATGTGAATGTTTCCATGTCTAGCATGCTTGCCATGAGGCTAAGTACTTTAGTGCTATAACTACTTGAATGCCTGCGGATGAAGGCTTATTGCTTGAATTGGAATAATTTGAGCAATGTTTATATCACTTTTTCAAGTAGTGAATATTTCGAAATGATTTTCAAAACAAACATGACTCGAGATGTTCCAATACTTACAAAGTTAGTCTATACTTGTGTGTGCGCGCATCACATAGTAACGCTACCCTAATAAACTGAAACAAGAGCATATAATGTACATAAGATTCATATCATGATTAGTAGAAGCCGATCATTGATCGGGCGAGTGGGGTGCTCAATTCATGACCTTTCCCTCTCGTACCTAAGTTCCCGAGCCAAGACAATCTTGGTAATGACGGACACGTGGCCTTTGGCACAAGTCATGGGTTTCCTAAATTTTTTAAAAATATTTAGATGGCGACTCTGTATCTAGTAAAGCAGTCTATTTTTGACAATTTGATTCAAAATCAATTTTTCAAAAGATTTGTCGGGTTTGGACTCTTTGGTGTTTATCAATTTCACATTGCACTTGTAAGATTAGATTCAGAACCGCGGGAGTCCGAATTGTAGGGCTTATTTCGAACTTCCGAAAAGGGTTGCAAAAAAGTCGAGCTACAGTTTGGTTGTGTTCTAAAAATGAAAGAAGAAGAGGTGGGGAAGTTAAAAAGGATAATGTGGAATTGCGGGAAAAAATAGCAGTTCTCGAAGTCCAATTGGTGGAAAATGATGTTCATAATGTGACCCAAGCGTTCTGAACGATAGATAGTGGTTGTTACGATAGTGGCGTTGACAGAGATAGATTTGAAATTGGTGGGGCAGAAATTTGGGGGGCAATACCATTACGTGCAGTTAAAGGGCGTGTAGGTAGTGTTGTGGGAGGTGATGCGAACGTGTCTATGGATCCCAACCTGTTGCAGGTGAATGGACCGAGCAATAACAACATGTATGACTCTGATACAGAAATGGTACTGTACATGAAGGAGGGCATTACTGGTGTGGATGTGCAAAATTCGTTTGTGCGTAACATTAAAGAAAAGAGCATAAATTTCCAAAGTTTGAGTACCCGTTATTGGGTGGTCATTGTAATAAAACGGCCAAGATAGAGGGTAAAGTTGGAGGGAAGAACAAATGTGTCGTAGATAATGCTGTAATTGATGTCAACAAATTTGTGTTGCCTGATAAAAAGTGGTCTGGATTTGATATAAACAATCGGTTGGGTGTCTAGAAAATGATGACGCTTGAAGAGAAGGCAAAGATCACCATGGCTTATGATCGGTACGGCGACGGATATGTAATTAATTCATTACAGTAATTGTTTATGCGAACATGAGCTGAACTGATTTTTGTGATCTACATTGTTTGTAGGGCCGTCATGTGGGCTGGCAGTACAAATGTCGTGGTAGTGTACTTTACTGATGTTAAGGATCTTGTTAGGCAACCTAGTGTCCGTGGCAATGTGAGCTATCATTATTGTGTTTTGTCACAATTTTTTATTTATTTTATTCATTTTGATTGGTTTGATTATTATTGTTTTACCATTTGCATTATGGTGGTAGTTGGTTGTCATAATGTGTTTGTTTGAAAAATGTTAAACTTGGTTTCGGTGCACGACAGGTGATCGATGTGTATGCGGAGTTGTTGAAAACTGAGCAAGATAGAATGTATGCAAATGATGATATTGCGGACAAGTCCTACTTCTTCAGTAGCATTTGCCTGGTGAGTGTTGGGTGTGTGTGAACATGGATTGTTTTTGTTAATTTTTACAATTGTGTGATTTGGTTATTGAATGTGTTGTAGGATATGGTGCAAAAGAAGGACACCCGTGCGATGGAGAAGTATGTGAGAAGGAATGTAACTGAGGGTAGTGCATGCCGATACATCCATTTCCTGATTTGCCATGACGCGCACTGGACACTTGTGGTGTATGATACTGATTATGGGAGTTGGAGGCATTACAATCCAATGAGGCAATGTTCGGTGCAGACAGACGTGCATTACACCGAAGCTGTAATTCTAGAAAGCATTGAAATCAGTTGGCAGTATATGTGTTGTGTGTTGTGAGATAATATTGGCACTTTGATTTTGTTGTGATGAGTTTTTTTTAGTTTTGTAATTTGTGTGGCAGAAGGAATGTGTGACTAACATTATGAAGCAGTCATTGCGTGCATTTGGAATGGATGAGTGTACCATTGAGGCAGATTTCAGCTACCCATTGGAGGCTATCACACAGTGCCTATAGAAGAAAGCGGAATCGTAAGCCAATATGTGTAGTAATGTTATAGTTAATTTGTTGAACAAGGATTCTGTGTCCCAAAATTTCTTTGTGCCACAATGTAACACATTGCACTTTACATTGCGAACGTACAAAAGCGTGTGAACTTGCATCATGAGTTATCAACATACTATGCAATGTGTTATAGCGTGGCATAAGGAGGTGGGAAAACGTGTTTGGGCTATTTCACAAACACCGCTGCATGGCTATAACTGTGTGATAGTTCTAAAACTATGTAACAAACACTGCCCAAGGATTCTATGTCCCAAAATTTCTTTACATACTATGTTTAGTAGTGTTATAGTATGTAAAGAAATTTTTATCACAGAGAATCCTTGACCCGCAAAATAAGTGTGTCACACAATTTTGGGTACACTATAGTTAATTTGTTGAACATGGGATTGATTGCACGTAATTGGTTTCGTATGCAGGCTTGATTGTGAGATAATTGTATGTGCTATAATGCGGCAATACGTGTACCATTGCGATGTGGATCGGTCACTGCAAGATACTAATTGTAGCGTGTTGCGTGGAAACATGGTCAAGTCTTTCGTGAATGATCCAATTCGGGGAGTGAATGAGTAGATATGTTTGGGTAGTGGTTGATTGGTTGGATTTTTTGATATGTGCCAAATTGTTGGGTACATATAGTGGTGAACAATATGTTGCTAGTATTAGTTTTTGTTAGAAAGGTGGTTTATTTATTTTTGTTTTAAATTTTTGAATGGTAGGCTGTATAGCTGTTTTTTGGATATTGTGAATGCATTCTTGTGTGTATTGTATACTGTTGGTGTGGAATACTTACCATGTGTTTGAAATGAAATAAGTATTTTTTTTTTTGGGGACGTATATTGTGGGAATTCGTGGTGTGAATTTGATGAATGTATCGTATTGATGTGTAAAACAATTTAAGTGTATCTTTAGTGAAGGTACATGTATAAAGTTAAATGCTTATTGAGTATATGTACATAATTAAAAATGGAATATTGTTTCTTGCTTCACAAATGTAATTTGTCACACGGACATGTGCGTAGTTACATGCCTGTTGACTATATGTGTTGGGAAATTGGAAATGATGAACACGGATGTTGGGTGTGAAGTAGAAGTGTGTTGGGAAATTGAAAATTATGAACAGGTGGGTTTGTGGTATAGGGGGTGGGGGGGAACGTATTTGGGGTATTTCTAACACTCGCAACAGTTGTACCATACACATTACACATTTCCACATATACAATTGCATCATTGGATTAGATTTACCAAATCATACCATCAATGTCACACACACAATAGATTGTGGGTTTCCCAATAGCACACACATTACACATTATGTCATACATCATGAGCTAACTTGCATCATGAGTTATACGCGAAACATGGAACTTGACGATTGTTCACAAGATTATGAAAATTGATAAATATGAATCATGTAATCAGCACATCATGCTGAATGGGTTTGTTTGGCACATCCACTTATTACAAGAAAAACATTTTGAAAAAAGAAGTAAATATTAGTAATCTATGTGCCTAACTTGATTCCTAAATTGGTTCCTTGCATGTCTTCCTGTTATGGTTCCCCATGCATTGGCACCGACTACACCGAATTTGTGGCACTTGTTTCCCCCTAGAAAGCATCCATTTTTTTTTTTGGGGCCTTCCTGGTGGTCTCTTGACAATAGGTGGTTGTATGACGAAATCTTCGACGTTGAATGGTGGTTTCTCGATGGTCGGAATAGGGATTATGTTGTGTGCATATGAAGATCGATACTCTGCAACATGGTAGTACGGATCGACTAATTCATACAGGTCTTTGTTGTTGTTGTGGATGGCAACCATTGCGTGAGCACACGGGAATCCTTTGATTTGCCACTGGAAACATAAGTATGTACGTCTCCCAACATCAACCATTACTGATGGGAACGAGTGAACCTCGTAAAAATCATCATTTAATTGACTTGCAAGCCACGATCTACCTTTGTTGTATGCTTTAACCAAACGAGATTCTATTTTTGAGCAGATAACACCATGCCACACTTCTGCCTTGCGCCTTCATTTGGCCATCTACTGCATAATTTGAGTCCGAATATTGTCGATCATTTGAGTTATTGGGAGGTATCTTGCATCCCGTATCCACAAGTTGAATGACTCGACGGTATTTAAACTTATCTCGCCATAACGTGAACCACTAGCGGAATAAACAAGAACATGATGTAAAAAAAAAGTTGACAACGTTAAAGAATGACAGCTTAGAGTAAACAGAACATAAACATAATGTATATGTGATTAATATGGATTAATAGTGTTTACCAAAAAAAAAAGCATTCAACCAACACTCCGGTGGAAAATCCTTTAAGAATGCTGGTGCGACTTTATGGCCGGATTTGACGAACTCTTCCAAACTATGGTTGAAAGTAGTCACCGTTGGGCATATGCGCACAGTCGGAATTTAGCCAACAACCCAAATCGATATGAACTGTTTACATATCGCATTTTGTCTTGTAAGTTATGTTGCAGATGTCGTAAGCAAAATGCATGATGCGCGGTAGGAAATATGATGGGTATTGATTCCAGCAATCCAGTATATCAGTTCGATACGGACATAAGTGTTCTATGGCCATCTACTACGTTCGCGAGATGTCCCAAAAACCAGGACCAGTTGACCGAGTTCTCTGAATCAACGATTGCGATGGCTAAAGGGAACAGTCTTGCGATTCGTTTTGTATATGGGTTTAGACAAACAATATGAGGAAAATGGCATGTGAATGTAATAAGGGCACACACTCCACTGTGTGACACATCACATGTAGGAAAAAATACCATGTGGTGCAAAAAATGGATAGAGTGAAATGAAATTAAATAACAAACCATAATAGTGTGGCACAATTGTGCAGTAATAAAACATACCTTGGTTACCATTTTTTGCAGTGGCTGCTAGCAAGTTCCCCTTGAATTTCCCTTTGAGGAACGTCACATCCGAAAAAAGTAACGGCCAACAATGGTTGAACATCAATACATGCTTTGAATGATATGAAATACCTTATGAAACGGTTTTTTTGTTCATCGTAGTCCATGTTGATGTAACTTCCCGAGTTGTTATCCATAACTATGTTACTATACCACCGTAATTGGTTAAATGAAATGGAGTGTGCACCGAACATTTTCCTGCGAGCTTTTTCAACACCTAACCAAGCAACTCGGTAACTAACCTCTAATCCGTAATCTTTCTTCAAGTTGTACACAACATTGGTAGGTCGTGTGAGTGGTTTGTCACATACTCGTTCGGCGATTACACCAGACACTAAGTTAGAACCAGCCCTCGGATTTTTGGGTGTCCGCACAGCCATACCACACATGTGCTCGTTATTCCACTTAAAAAGGTAAAAAAATCCATTGGCATTTAAGACACATGCATGTAAAGACCACATGCATCCTTTAGATTCCCGCATCATGCATACCACTGTAATCCAAATAGAATCATTATTCACATATTTAAAACGAAACCCACACTCCACCGCATATTTGCGCAGAACCATTCGGAATTTAGAAGAACCCCTCTCAAAACATTGACTAACATGTTGAATCTCATTAGCCCACATAGCAAACAAAAAAACCTTATCGGCATGGGGACAGAATTTGGCCAACAAATCTGGTTCATCATCCACATCCGACTCGTCGGACTTCCTGTTTATGTGACATGTGACAGACTGTACATTACAAAGCGAACTGTCAACGTTTTCTACATCTTGGTCATCTTGTAACTGAATAATGACATCGATGCTGTGGGAGCCGAATAAATGGCAAGATCAGAAGGTGCGTACCTTAGAAGACTAATATTAATCGGCTGTATCCTAGGAGAATGGGAAGCCAAATACAATACATGTGCCGAATAAGTGTAGATCCTTAGAGCCGAATAATAGAAAGGACAATGATTAAAAAGTAGGCCTTGGCCCCGAGGATCAAAAGGAACAGGTATAAATACAGGAACAATAGATTGAGAAAAGTATGTAATAATGACTTCACTTAACTTAGTAAACAAGCTATCCTGAGGGTCTGAACTGACTTGTCCGTCGGAGTGCTAATTTTGACACCCCCGACCGGAGTATTTGTATCTTTTCAGGTGACTAGCTGAGGATCACTAGCGTCTCTCAGAATCTGAAGAGTGTTTCCAAACCTCTTTCCCCACAACTGGCGTCGTCTGTGGGAATACTCAAATGCATCCATGGCAGACGTGACTGAAGATCCTCCGATAGCCACTGACGAGACCGCACAGGGAGATGACCTCACTCCAGCAAATATGCTCGAAAAGGAAACCATCGCTGCAAGACGCGTCTTGAACTTCGACTCACCAACGACTTCAGCGCAAGAGACAATGCGAGCGATCATGGAACAAGCAAAGCAGAATGAACAAAGGCTGGAGAACATGATCGCTGAAAATGAACGTCTTCGTCAAGATTTGGCCCTGGAAGTAGCAAAATCCAAAGAAGTCGTGCGCCAAGATCCCGAACGACCTCTGACGGCAGGTGGACAACAACCTCGAGCCCGACCAAAGGAGACCGATAGCGACTTCAACTCATCACCCACGGAGCTCAACAAGAAGGGACGATCCGAAACTTCCAGTTCCTCTGAAAAGAGTCTACATACAAGGAACAAGTGCAGAAGAAGCAGTTCAGACGAAGAAGACCGGCACGATCCTTTTGTCCGACGGATCACAAGGGCGGCCCTGCCCAAGAAGTTCAAAGCTCCGTCATTCACTCTTTACGACGGAAAATCAGACCCCACTGATCATATCTGTCACCACAAGCAGGCCATGACATTACATGTAGACAACGAAGCCCTCATGTGCCGAATATTCCCCAGCAGCCTAGGGCCATTAGCTGTCAGGTGGTATTACAAGCTGGAGCCAACTTCGATCAAAAGCTTCCATCAATTACAGAAATCCTTCAGGGCCAGGTTCATCACCAACGAGGTACAGCCGA